GAGAGAGAGAGAGAGAGAGAGAGAGAGAGAGAGAGAGAGAGAGAGAGAGAGAGAGAGAGAGAGAGAGAGAGGGAGATGGGAAAAAAAAATACAAAAATGTTACACCCGGCATGCCATATCGAAGTTCCAAATCTCCAGAAACCTCGACATCTTATGAAATTACAGTTGAAGGCCCTTTGTGTGGCCAATGGAACTATCTCACATCAGACCACCATTCAAGCTTAAACGACACGTCATGGAAAACCCGCATCTAAACAGGATTCCGCCCGGCCCTGAATGCCATATGGGCGACAATCTCTTCCCTTGCGCTCTCCCCGTCGTGCTCATTCGCCTGAGCTGAACCCCATCTGCATCCACCTGATTGAAAAGTCCCAAATCTCGATGTCTAGCCATGAAACGGTCAACATTGAAGAACACATTAGCGACCGCCGAGCTGTTTGGGATCCTCAGAGACTTTACGCAACGCATCTCACTTGTTTCATTAATGAGACGGAAAGAAAGAAAGAAAGAAAGAAAGCGGCAAGCCACTCACTTTGTGTCTACTTTCAATTCTAATTTGCTGGATTGATCGATGCTGAGGCTTTCTTTTACGTATGTATTGTATGAGTTGTGGAGCACGCCTATGGCCAGGACATGATCCGGAAGTGTGTCCAAATCAGCCTTCTGCCGCTTGTACAGCACACGCCACATCCCCTTAAGTCACCCAAAACACCGTTCGACGCACTTTCGCACAGACTCATGTGCATCGTTGAAACGCAAGCAGTCACCTTGCTGCTGTCCTGGGAATGGGCGCAGAAGCCATGGCAGACAAGGGTAGCCAGCATCGCCAATCAAGTGCTGGTTGACCCTTCCCCCATGATTGAGCCGTGCCGAAGTGTCTCTGAAGTAACCATCAATAGCACCTCGCTCGTAAAGGGAGGATCTACGCAAAATTCTCGAATCGTGTACGCTACCAGGCCACCCCGCATCCAGGTCAAGGATGCGGAGATCCATGTCTGACACACACTGTGCCACTATGCTGTACTGGCGGGTGCGATCGTAGTAGTCCGTGTCCAATCCATTGCCCGGTTTCTCTATGAAAAAATGAGTGCAGTCTATGGCACCGACGCAGTTTGCAAAGCCCCAGCCTTGCAAACTTGGCGATGGTGCCTGGCATAGCCTCAGCATCAGGGAATGATATCAGCCCCAGCATGTTGTCCAGAATTGCCTTTGTCACCCGGTTTGTGCACTCAATGGCCGTCGCGTGACCGATGCCGAACCTGTCCCCAACCCTGTCATAAGACTCTCCGCTTGCAAACCTGTTCAATGCAGCAGCCAAGACACGAGCTGGTTCGATAGGCCGTCGCATCGTCGTGTGCTGACTCTCCAGATAAGGACTGAGCCGATCTAGCAGTCGTTTGAACAGTGGAGCAGGCATACGGAAGTACGATTTGAATCGCCTGCTCGTTGATGAAGTGCGGATTGTGCATGTCTCTCCACGTCCCCCCTGTCCGGTCTTTGACCCATACTGAGCGTGGCAGTCGGCCTCCAACCCCTCGTGCCATCATGCCCTCTACTGCATGTATGATGTGCAAGCCCATCCACCCTCCGTCCGTGCTGAGCTGCCGACTTCCATGCATCCAGACTGCCTCATTGTGTGGTCTTGAGGCGAGGCCCATGATGCGAGACACAGAGAGCCGCTGGCGAAGCACAGTTTGGACCCACAGCAGAATGACACGATGGAAGTGCTGCCTGCGTTGGACGTCCATGGCCTACAACTTATGGGGACGGTGCTGGCACCGGCCTTGCCACCAGGGAGTTGTAACCTGCGATTACAGCGCTGAATAAGTACGGCTATGGCTGTAGCCACCGCTAGTAGGAACCCGCTGTGGACATCCGAAGGCATGTGGACAATAGCCACCGCTAGTAGGAACTCCAAACCCGCAGTGGACGTCGGAAGGCGCGTGGACAATCACGGAGGCAAAAGGGCTGCATTGAAGCGGCAATCCGCTGGCGGGGACTCGCTCCACACCCAAACATTGGGCCTCTCTGCACTACTCTCCACATGCTCAAAAGACAATAAAGATGGCAATGCATCTTTCCATGTTTGGGCGGTGGGTTCAGTCCCATTTTGCACATTTCAGAGTAGTTGGTCCCCATGTGGTCACACGGGCGGACAGAAAGGACGACCCTGACACTTTGGGTTCAGGGCAAGTGCGGCGGGTCACACGGTCGAGGACCAAAAAAAAAAGGATGGAATTAGTAAAAAAAAAAACAGAAACAAATATGGAATTTGTTTTTTTATTCCTTTCGCGCCAGTATAACGTGGGCCTTCGCTACAACGGATTGCCTCCTCGCTGCACTACTCTCCAAATGTGCAAAACGAGACTGAACCCACCCGTAGAACATGGAAAGATGCATTGCCATCTATTTTGTCTTTCGCTACAACGCATTTGAGACTTTTGGTCCCCGTGTGAGTATGCGCACAGTTCCGGCCCACAAACGTCGGTTGGAATTCGAAAAAACAGACCAACTAAAAAAAAAAAAAAAAAAAAAAAAAAAAAAAAAAAAAAAAAAAAAAAAAAAAAAAAAAAAAAAAANAAACAGACCAACTTTGCAGACCGCCCAACAAAGGCCGCCGCCACTAACGTAAGATCTCCTTCAACGATTTTACTTAACCAAATGCGAAACCTGCAGACCGGGCTTTTACGTTTCTTTCGGACTTTTACTTACCGTAAGTATGGTGGGATGAGCCCCTAGCCAGGGTGCAAAAATGACGTGAAAAGTCACTTTTGGGGCCTGCGACAGTTCTTGCACCTTTTCGAGGGAATAACTCTTCCCTACTGGACTAACTAGGAGGAGGATGGCCGGGACTGACATTCTGCCAGCCCCGCAAAAAAATTATGGGTAGTAGTGAAACAGGCTTGCCAGAAGGGCAGGGCAGCCCAGTTGGTAAGGCATGCAAGTGATATTCAGGAGGTCTTAGGTTCAATCCCCATTCTCATGTACCTTCTGGGCAAGCTTGGAGCCCGCCACCTAGAGATATGTCATTGGCGCCCCCCTAGTGGAATTGAGCAGAGACTGCTGATTTTCGTAGGGGCAGGGGACCCGAGGGGAGGCACAGGCACAGGCACAGTCATTGGCCCATCTGGCCGAAATCTCGCCCATCTGCTGTAGCAGATGCCGCACCTGCTGGTGTGTGCAGCTCCCCTCGTTGGAGGCTTGAGCACGGATTTGGCTGCCACGGGCTCTCCAGTAATACTATAATGACAATACAAAAGGCCTGAAAGGCCATCATGTCCACATTCTTCAGGTAATTGAATTGGTTGCGCTTAAAAAATTAGCCTTTAAACCACCAGTACCTTTCCCATATGTAGGCCGCGGGCATCTACTAGCCTACTCCTGAAAAATTGCCTCCACGCCGCGGATATGTTTCATCGAAGACGCGTGGCAGCCAAGTTTGAATTTGAGACCCGTGGCCCCACATATGACAAAAGTACTGGTGGTTTTTCAAAAAGCAAAGAAAAAAAGAAGGAAATGAAAGTCCATTTGAATCAAGTGGTGCACTACGTAAAACAGATGCACTCAACCAGAGCTCCAGTGTGAGTATGCCCTACTATGCTGGCCTACTGCTGTGGAAAGTTGATCTTCTTGGGGAGACTGTTGGACATAGTTGTAGAGGCATCTAAAGTGTTGGGAGCTTTGTGGACCGGCCTTATACCTGGGAAGGAACTGGGCAATGCTGTGACAAAACTGCCTATTAGAACTCAGGTCGCAGCAGATCTGCTGAAGCATGTGTTTTTGGCCTATTTGGAACTCTACCTGTGACTCACGCTCCCTTGTCCCTTTCTTTTTTGAAATGGATTCTGTGCAAACGCGAAGTCCATCTTGTGGGCTACAGGTTGAGATTCCATTCCTCGGTGCAGGCACAGCAGCCTTTTTCGAAAACCAAAAAAAGATCATAGAGACAACAAAAGAAAATTGGAATCCAGCGGCCTAGCTCGGTTGGTTAGGCATGCAAGTGGCATTCAGGAGGTTGCGGGTTCAAGCCCCATGGCCGCCTGCGGCGCACTTAGTGCGAACGGACTGTGATAGTCCTCTGGATACCC